GAATAGGAGCACCATATGGAGCCTTAGACGGATGAATCAATCCAGCATCTAGCAACTCATTCAATTGTTTGCGTAGTTCAACCAATTCTTTAGGAGCCATAGGATAAGGAGCTTGTGCAGGGGCAACCGTACCAAGCAGCAACTCAATCTTATGATCAATATCCCTCCTTGGTGGTAATTTCTTTGGTAATTCAGGTGGCATAACATCAGCATACTGTTTAAGTAATTCAGCGACACAATCAGGCACTTCCATCTTCACATCAGGTTTAATTTCAACCAAGGCAGCAAGTATGGTTTCATCACCCTTCTTCAGCCCTTTGTCGATCGACATAGCAGACAACAACATTGCCTTGTCTTTCTTCTTCGCAACTTTATTAATGTTTCCAAACGGATGAACACCCTTCAGAAAACCAGCATCACTTCCACTCATTACCATCACTCCATCTAAGTGAGGAAACGGAACAAACTTGTATTTTCTTAGGAAATCAATCCCAAGTATAATTTCAAAGTCTCCAAGCGGCATCACCATCAAATTATGTTTTCCCACCCAATTTCCAGTCGACATAGACACACTATAAGCCATGCCCACAATGGCTTGTGCCTTAGCATTGACTGTCTTGACATAGGAAGGGCTTTTAGACAACTTCAGCACCAATTTTGTAGCAATCTTCACATCTACAAACGTGTGTGTGGCCCCTGTATCAACCATTGCCATCACACATTGTTCCTTCACTTTCATTTCTATATGAATTAAGGAAGCATGAGGATTTGAAGTGCTAGAGATCTCTCCAACATTTTTGATCCCCATAATGTGATTGAAGGACAATCCCAATGGGTTTGCCATTGCAGCCAAGATTTCTTCATCCTCCTCCCTTTGATTCACATTACCAGCAAGCAAAGCATTCACTTTTTCCGGTTTGGACAAGATTTGGCCAAATGAGGACCACCACAAGTCCAACAGCCTTTAGAGTTTCCATCTTTACTCTTGGGTCTGTCTTTCCCATCCTTCATTTGTGCCTTTCCTTTATCGTTTGCATTCTCTTTACGACTATCCTTTCTCCATTCCCCTTTCTTTTCATTCTTTTTCTTATTTTTCGAAGTAGAAGGGACATCTGTCGAAGGACGAGTCGTCCGGAAATCTGCCAACGAATCAGCAGCAGCAATTGCCCCAGGCAGATCTTTAACATTCTGCCTTCGTAGTTCGTTTTTAGCCCAGCCTTGCATGCCTGAAATGAAATTGTGAAGTTTATCCTCATCAGACATATTTTGTATGACTAACATCATAGAGGTAAATTCTTTTATATATTCCCTCACTGAACCCGTCTGCCTTAACCTTTTCAATTTATCCCTTGCAAGCCAAGATGCATTGCTAGGAAGAAATTGATCGCGCACTTCTTTTATAAGCTTATCCCATGTATCAATTCTAGGACGACCAGCACTTACGTCATCTGCATTACGAGTCCTCCACCAAAGTTTCGTATCACCCGACAAGTACATTGTGGTAATGTTTAACTTATCAGCGTCCGGCACCCTTGCAGCGGTAAAGTATTGTTCCATGTCCCATATGAAGTTTTCAAGTTCTTTAGCACTCCTTGCGCCACTGAAGGCTTTAGGGTCTGGAATCTTAACCTTAGATGATTCAACAAGAGTCGAACTCAACGTAGCCACAGCCCGACACAAAACGACGAGTTCTGCACGAAGGTTCTCATTTTCCTTCTGCAGTCCCTCTAGTTTTTGTGTAGTTGTAGCACGAAAGTCCAAGATTTCAGTGATGTGGTTATCAACATTTTGTCGATATCCACCAATTTCTCCCTGAACTTTCTCAGCGTCCACTCTCAACTCAATGATTTGTGTGAATAAATCTACAAACGTAGGGTGTGCCAGAACATCTTCAGTAAACCCGACGAAGGATTCAATTTTTCGTGCCAACTCCCATAGTTCTGCGTTTTTCAACATTGTTTAACCTTGCTCTGATACAAATTGAAAGAGGGTCGATTTATTTTTCTCGCACACCACTCTAGGCAGTCTTACAGCGTCTGTAATACTTCAGCCTACTTACACCCACAGAATTGACTAAGTATAGAAATACTTAAACAGCAATGTCAAACAATAAACAGGCAGCATTTACAGGACTAAGTCCCAACCTTTATTAATCAATAATTAATACAAAGGAAGGCTTCACAAATAAGTCTAAGGCTAGAAAAGTTTCTGTCTCCTGGCTTAGACGAATTTCCACCTTAAATAAAAATTCTGCACAATGGCAGTTACAAGCGGTTACATGCGGCGGTTACACATGACACCTGTCCGAGACATGTCAGCCCAGGGTTCAAAACTAACTTTCCAACAGCTATATTTCCAACAGATAGAATCTAATTCAAATTACATTCTTATCTACACGAAATACTAATATTCTAACACTTAGAATATTTCAGGCTTCATTCCAACACGTAGAATAATCCTGCCAGCTTCCAACACTTACAATATTTTAGCTGTCTTCCACACTTAGTTTTATTTCAGCAATTTCGGGTGAACTGCCTTTGTCTTTGACCTTGCCAAGTCTTCACAGCCTTGCTTCATCAAGTCAACATGCTGTCTTGCCAACGCCCTTAGCCCGCACGTAAGTCATGCACGTTCAAGCTGCCTTGCCAACACCTAAGCACCTTGAACTTGTGTTGCACTGTTTTGCCATCATCCATGCCAAGACCAATGCCCAAGTCCTTGGCATGTCTGCACGTAGTTAGATCAAGTAGATTGCGGGTCTAACACTATCCTAGTACCGGAACGTGGCACCCGATCCCCTAATCTCACTACTTTCATTCATCAAGCCTTTTTTATTCCAAGGCATCATCATTAACAAAGTAGATTGGGTTTTTCAAGATTTAGGATTCAATAGCTTCATCATGCTTACTTTATCACAATTATATAATCACATTCATTCAAGCATACAATTAAGCATATAGAAGGGTTTACAACACTACCCAATACATATCATTTGCTTTTAAAAGTTTACTACGAATAGCATAAACCATAACCTACCTCCACCGAAGAGTTGCGATCAAACAAGCTAATTCCCCAAAGCTCTCTTGTCCTCTTCGTTCCTCTCTCGATCGATCGATCGTTTCTCCCCTTTCTCTCACCGTTCTTTCTATTTTTCTTATTCCAAACCCTTTATCTTTTACCCTAATTAGTATATAATTAAGTATAAAAGATGATAAAAATAACCTACTAATTATTCCAAGGTTATCTCTTTTAACCCCCAAGAAATTGAATTATTAACATTAAACCACTAACTTTTTAACTATATGCATGAATAGTCCAAAACGCCCCTTAAAACTTTTAAATAGAAATCCGACCCAGTCAGGTTTACGCAGCCTGTGACGGTCCATCCTGCAGGTCCGTCACAATGTTTTGAGAGTTAGTTTCTGTGGAAAGATTTGTGACGGTCCGTCGTGCCTGCGACGGTCTGTCCAGTCATTCCGTATCGAAGTTCAAAGAGTCGATTTCAGTACCCAAATTTCAGAATTCTATGTGTTTTGGAACGAAACCCCCTCGACTGTCCGTCGTGCCCATGACGGTCCATCGTGCCCACGACGGTCCGTCATGGGATCCGTCGACTCAGACTGTTATTACCAAAAAATACTCTACTGCTCAAAATGACTACACATGTCGTTATAGACACAAGCTCTAATCTTACATGAAAAGGGATTGAAATTATTCTTTTTATTTTGTTTCGAATTCTATTAGAAAAAGAATTGTAATTGTAATCCTATTTGTAGTTGATTTTTATTTTGTAAGGAAAAACACAATTGTATAAATATAGGATGGTCTTAAGAGAAAAGTTTAACTACTCATTAGTATTCTCCTTGAAAGACATTAGGACATAAGGAAGGTTTTGTTAGAGAACAGATAAGGGAGAAGAGAGAAGAAAAAATACTTATTTGGTTGCATACCTTTTCTCCGACCAGCAACGTTGAGATTGTGTTTCTCAAATAACTAACTGTTGGATCGGGCTAAAATTTGAACTACGTGTCTGACATATTAATTGTTCATTATAACTGTGCAGATTGGATTTGGATGTTCTCGAGATCATTTTTTTGATTTTGAAACAACAGTTGCAGTTGAATTGTGCTTGCATTAAAATTGTGGAGGCATTGTATTTATACTCTGTATTATGAGGTATTTTAATATAATGTTTAATAAGAATAATATTAATTTAAGACAACGAAAGGGGTAAAGAGGTATATTTTGGAGGTTTAGAATTGAGTTGACGGTCTTGCGGTTCTATCTATTTTATTTTTGTTAAGGTAATACTATTACAGGTTCATCAGATTGATAGAAAATTATTGGATAAGACTTGTGAAAAGAGTGTATATACGTTAAACTCGAGTACGACAATAAGTTTTTTTGTGGTTGTGAGTTCAGTAATAAGTACTATCAAATTTTTAGCGAAGGATATGGTAAGATGTATGAAGAGACGATTAATGATGCGCGAAGATACATGAATTCCTAAAAATCTTCAAGGTATGAGCTAATGTTGATAGATGAGAGGATTGAGTTACACAACTGAATTTACAATTCATTTTTTAATATAAATATATTTATAAGTCTACATTAGTGGTGGTATGTGTATGAAGGTATGGATTGGTAAAGTAAAAAATGATTGATTACATTTAATATAAAGCATTTTGTAAGACTTATGCAAAATTTAAGTCAAAAATTTGGTTACTTTTGATTGATAAGAGTTTTCCCGTAATGTTTTGACTTAAAGGCTAAGATAAAAATGTCAAGTATTTTTGGAAAAAATAATAATAATAATAATTATAATTAAAATAATAATAATAATAATAATAATAACAACAACAACAACAAACAGTGACAATAATAATAATAATTATAAGTTAAATAAATAAAATAAAATTGGTAAGTGAGTCAGCAAAAAAGAACAAGATTGTGTTGTATGGAAAATTTCAAGATATTTAGAATTTTATGTGATGAAATTTTATATATATATTTTTTAAAAGTAAAGGAATAAGATCTCTCGTATGAATCCTTAGTTGTTGTTGAAGGTTGTGTTGATTTTCGCATAAGAGATTAGATATGATTATAAGATGTGAAATAGTTTGATACAGACTTACTAGGGGTTTATCATCGACTTTTATAAAGGTGGAATTTGATTTTGTTGACAAACAACAAGGTTTGTAATGTTTTAGAATGGTAGCTAAAGCATGGTATGTGGAAGTATTGTGAAGTTGCCCTTGGGTGTGATCTAATAGTTTTATCAAGATAGAAAGGTACTATCAAATTTGAATTAGTTATATTAGCTTTATTTGGGACTCGTATTTGTCATGAAATGCTTAATAGAAAGAGAGATAGTCATACTTTAAACATGTATCTGATAAGAATACTTTGATACTAATGATGGTTTAGGAGTAAGGTAGATGATCAATGTGATTAGGATATTTTATCAATATTAAAAGTGTTGAATTCAGTGGATGTGAGATTTGATAAACCAAATATTTGTGCACTTATAATAGGGACTCAATTAAAGATTGTGGGTATGCTAGAAAATCAACGACTTTGATACTTATTTATGTACATTCTTATGTGACCAACTGTTCATCTTGGGCATGGTTTAGAGTATGATTCAGTTTCTACATATGTGTCTATTTTTGGTTCTATGTGTGACACTTAGAAGTGAATCGCGTGTACCGATTATGTGATAATCCTCCTAGTAGGGGTGACATCCTTGGTTAGACTTGCGCATTTCAGTTATGAAAGATTTGTTGTTGTTTGGATTAGTTGAAGAATACTAGTGATTTTACACACACAATTTTGCTTATGAGAATTTATAGGAGAGAGACCATGAAAATCTACAGATGTTCGATAGGCTTAAGATTTATCTCATCATCGGTATCATGTATTGGCTATGTGTGATTGAATGTGTGAACCATTGGATCTAATTTTGTCATTCTTAAGATTTGTCTATAATAACTACAAATTCTAAATTTTGATACTATTTTTAGAAGTTTTGTATGCTTAGGTGTATCACTCTATAGTGGGTACTTGTCCATTTCCATCCTTGGATTAGATGAGTTCGATTACTTGATCATATTTTTATAGCTCAATATTGAGGAAATGTTATGTTGTGAGGATGTAATCTTGATAATATCTCTGATGCTTTGTTCCTTATGAGCATGTGGTGTCTAGTTCAGGTTAACTTCTGATTGTAGACAATATTGAACAAGGATTATATCACGGTTATATTAGATGATATTTGTCATGATGGTTACGTCACGATCTAGTTGGAGAATATGTCAGTTAAAGAGTCTACTTGAGAAAAGTTTTGTGGTTAGTTAAGCTTACATAAAATAAAAGTTATCACAAGAGTATTGACATGGCCTATTTGAGACATTTTATGAAAGGAGGTGTAGACTTCCAGTTAATTGGTTAGTTACTTTTTATATTAGATCCGGGGTACTAATATTTTGAAAGAAATGATGAGACAATTACCCTTTCCTCCCTCATTTTTCGATTGTTCGAGGACGAACGATGGGTAAATTGGTATCTAATGTAACAACCCATTTAGTCGTTTTAAATATTAATGCTTTTTATTTCATAATGTACTCTTTCAATATAATTTAAATAGGTATTCTGGACCATTCATAACTACAATTATAGAAATAATGGGGTAGTATTAATAACTTATTTATGTTGGTGGTTAAAGAATATAATATTATAATTAATATTGATTCACTTTCACAGTTTTATAAATTAATTTTAAATAATTAGGTTAACAAATTATTTGTGGAAAGATAGAAAGGAGGGGAAGAGTAGAATAACGACGTGGAATGAATGAATGTCATGTGTACTCGAGGTAATTTCCAGAACTTATGATCAATTTGAAATGTATTATTGTTGTCATATATTATTAAATACTATTTTATAAAGGAAATTTG